AGTGCAAATTACAAATAGCGCGTGCACGCTTTGAAAGTTCGTCTGTCTTGACTTCTGTGATGTCTTTTTTCATGTACATTATTAAAAGCAGTAACATGATTTCTCTTGCTATTTGTCGTGTTTGTTTCGTATTTGCGAAAATGAAGCCATCGAAAAGAGGCCGTCCTGCACAATGGAAAGCCACCATATTATATGGTTTGTTAGATCAATTCTAAAAGCCTTGGGATAAGGCAAGAAAACAAACAGCGAGTCCTTTGAGGCCCTGCTAGACAGCATTCCGCAGGATAATCAAACAGAAGGCTCATCTCGGCACTTGAAAGACCGTCAAACGGGGAAACATTTATAATCCATCGCAAGTTTAATTCCGTGGAATTTTTTGAGTAACCTTTCTCTCCCGGTTAGATCAAATTCAGAGATGCATTTCTCCAAAATTTCCTTTCATTATTCTTTTTATATTTAAGCGTATTTTGAAACGCTTCTTGTTTTTATTAAAAGTGGAGTGTGACGAATTTATTCGTAGGAGGCGAAGCACTTCTTTTACGAATCCTTTCTTTGCGCCTGATGAATGACACCGGCGTTTCACTGGTACGAATAAATATTTAAGTATTCGAAGGTCTCTATCTCTTTGTAATACGTTTCGACGTCAAGGATCGAGTCCCTGTTAAATCTTTTGCTTTTGTACACTTTTGTCGAGCACATAATTTCTGAGTCTGATATTTCTTCCGTGAATAGTGTTTGTATCGTGGCAAGAGAATATATATTCTTTTGATCGTGGCTCAACGTAGCTGTTTGGCCGTCTTACAAATTCTTCAATTTTGTCTTTGGTTCTGTTCTGCAGACCGGAAACGTAGTCCATTATGCGCGATTTAGTTAAGTTTTCAGTGTCGTAAAACCAAAACCAAAGTAATCACAACGGCCGATCAAAAGAAAAAAAAATATCCCGGAGAGCCAATGAAAACTCATAGTAAAAACAACCAAACATGCCTAAAGCGCGGGAAAACGCAGGCGACCAAAACGTGTTTAGTGTTAGTTTTACATCTGATCGGTTGAGTGGCGCGAGTTTTAATTTCTGGACCAATCACAATGCGAGGTAAAGCAAAACCAATGAAATCTCGGATTACTTTCGACATTCAGTTGAAAATTCCTCTATTAAGGCACCTGACCTGGTGAGAGATTGGCGCGAGTTTGATGGAGCACTCATAGAGCAAAGAGAAGCGATACTGGTGCAATCCCGGATTGCTATAGACACCAGCTAAAAATTGCCTTTTCTCCAATGCACTGGATACTAAGTTGAAAATTTCCTTTTTCTCGCAGCACACCTTTAGTTACGATTCAAAAGCGTGGTCTTCAATGTCTTCAGTCTCTCCCGAAAATGGAGACACGGGGTTGGATAACTTGGAGACCTTGTTACCAACGTACTGGAGCACGTCCTTTACCAAGATCTGTCTCGGCATGAAGGTCGATGGAGTAACCAGGTTCTTTCGAGTGGATAAGGCAGCAGCCTCACTGTATGCCCTCATTGCTGATGGTCAGTACCGTGCAACCTCCCTGGGTCGAGATGCATGGAAGGGACTGGTTGGTCCCAAAGCCTCCCTCCAGCGCAACTGTAATCGAGAAGGGTTCAATACGCAGGGGAATTCAAAATCTAATCCTAAGGTGCGAATTGGTATCATCGCTAACGAGCAAAATGAATGTAATTCCCCTGATTCCAGAATCGGGTTTGGTGGATGGGGACCGGTAGCCGAAGTCCCGTGTGGAAACGTAGCCAGGCACGGCGGGGACAACGAAGACCAAACCATCAGAGCCTTCGGATACATCTTCGTTCAGTAAAGACACTGAACTGCTCTTCTCAAGGAAAAAGCTGCACGATATAAAGCATGCTCTTATCTCAGTAATGGGGATTTTAAATGTGGGTTTTTGTTTTTGCTATTAAATGAAGGGAAAATAAAAGTGGGTCAATGAATCAAAATGATGCCTCTAAATTTGTGTGTTGTAGTTACTCGAAGGAGAATCTATCTTGTAGGTGTATAACTTTTACTCCCTCTAAGAAGTTGCTTTTCTTAAATCCTATCAATACACTGTCTTTATGGGAGCCTTTTTTTCTCTTGACAACATAATTCGTTCAGCAAGGGCCAAAATAAAAAAACTAAAATTACACAAAATAAATGGCAGAAAATGACAGACCTCTCGTTATTTATCGCCTGAAGGAGAGGGGCTGGGGTCCTCAGACCGAAAGATAGAAAAACAATGAATATACTTACCATATCTTTGATTCATCCACTATGTCGTCGAATAGACGCCTAACTCGACCGACTTCCGTAATCGTCCTGCAGTCCCGTATCCTTTTTATGGGCACAATCAGTAAACAAGCGACAAAACAGTTAGGACCTGATTTGTTTTTCCTGCGCTTCTTGCGAAGCAAAAATAATTTCTTTTCTCAAAATTTCCTTATAACATAATTTCTCAGTGTGTATTTGCCATCCTCCTTGGCCCCACACTCGTTCCTTATTTTGTCGGAGACTGGACCCCAGCGTAATTAAGTTTTGATTGACACTTCACGCAAGTTATCGTGCATGTCGCTTTTTAGGGGATGTTTTTTCTTAGAAGAAGGTGCAAAAAAGCACTGAGTGAAATGGAACAAAAAGATTTAAACTAGGAATGGTGTTTTCAAAGCCCTTCATGCTGGAGGGCCGGAGAGGAATAGATTAATTTATTTTCTATCTTCTTCGGTGGCACTTATGAAGAATTTCATTAAAAAAAATTATCACCTATAATATATTAGAAATTACGACAAATACGCAAATTTGTAGAGTAATGATGGATTTACTGGATGAGATGTCTACTGAAAAGACAACGTTGTGAAAGGAAAAGGATGAACAGTTTTATTTTCATCAAATAACAACCAAAAGTAATGTATACTTTGTTAAAAGTTGAATGCAAGATTAAAGAGCAGAAAAAATAGCCGCCGAATACAAGCAACATGAGCTTAAGAGAAAAAAGGAAAAAAAATAGAGTCCAAAAAATTTTTGTCCAAAAAATTGCCTTCATCGAGATCACCCATTTTCAACGGCTTACCTCTAGAGTTTCGCATACGCGCCTGACTATCGCTTTTGACATCGGTCGCCTAGCAGGAATATTTTGTGCTGGTGAAAAAGATAAATTGAACTTGACATTCATTGGACACGCAGCTTTGTGAAAGGAAAATGTTAAACATTTTTATTTTTATCAAATAACAACCAAAAATAACGTGAACTCTGTTTCAATTGAATGCAAAAATCGTCGCACTTGACGGAACATCGAATGCTCGAAATACAGGGTAACAGTGCGTACAAGAATATTCATATTTAGAATCAAATTACAAGAAACTGAAAACTTATTGACGAAATTGATATCTAGCTCACGTCGAAGTTCAAGCTCCGTCATAAACATTAATTATCACCCTTTAAACATTCATGATCCGTGTGGAACGAACGGATCTTTTCCTTTCACAACGTTGCGTTGCAAATTTGCGTATTTGTCGTAATTTCTAATAAATTATAGGTGACAATTTTTTTAAATGAAATTCTTCATAAATGCCGCCAAAGAAGATAGAAAATAAATTAATCTATTCATCCCCGGCCCACCAGCATGAAGGGCTTTGAAAACACCATTCCTAATTTAAATTTTTTTGTTCAAATTCACTCAGTGCTTTTTTACACCTTCTTCTAAGAAAAAACATCCCCTCAAAAGCGACATGCATGATAACTTGCGTGAAGTGTCAATCAAAACTTAATTACGTTGGGGCCCAGTCTCCGACAAAATAAGGAACTAGTGTGGGGTCAAGGAGGGTGGCAAATACATACTAAGAAATTATGTTACAAGGACATTTTGCAAAAGAAACGATTTTTGCTTCGAAAGAAGCGCAGAAAAACAAATCAGGTCCTAACTGTTTTGTCGCTTGTTTACTGATCGTACCCATCGAAAGGATACGGGACTGCAGGTCGATTACGGAAGTCGGTCGAGGTAGGCGCCTATTCGACGACATGGTGGATGAATCAAAGATATGTTAACTATATTCATTGTTTTTGTATCTTTTGATTTGAGGACCCCAGCTCCTCTCCTTCAGGCGATAAATAACGAGAGGTCTGTCATTTTCTGCCATTTATTTTGTGTAATTTTAGTTTTTAGAATTTAGCCCTTGCTGAACGAATTATGTTGTCAAGAGAAAAAAAGGCTCCCATAAAGACAGTGTATTGATATGATTTAAGCAAAGCAACTTCGTGGAGGGAGTAAAAATTATAAACCACCACCTCCTTCGAGTAACTACAAAACACAAATTAAGAAGCATCATTTTGATTCATTGACCCACTTTTATTTTCCCTTCATTTAATAGCAAA